AAAGGTTTGTTTCATAGTACTGAAACCTGTTTGCTTGGCTGCATTCTCTAATTTGTGGATGAGAGACGGGAAGGGAAAAATCAAGGTCAAGTCACTTGTGTAAGAAACTGGGAACACTGAGGGAAGCTAGTTACATGTTAGGAAGAGAATTGTTCACATACTGTAGCTTCCCAATATGTGCAAAACTCTAGATATTTGTTACTACAGCAAAACCAGGAATATTACATATAGTATTCAACCTTTCACAGCACCTCTGTTCACACTTGCATGCTCCTAGCTCTCGACTCAGAGCCACAGAGCTCTGTCAAACAAGGAGGCTATTGTATCTGTAGGATTTAGTGGAAGGGACAAGACAGGGAGAAGCCAAACCACAAAAAATTAACCCCCAGACATACAAACCTACCACAATAGGTTGTCGGAAATATTCATCCACAGCTGCAGTGCGCAGACTAGACAGATTGACCCCATAAAAGCATTCTTGGTACCTAGAAACAGTAACACATGCAATGTTTAGGGAAAAATGTTTTCTCTGGGTTCCAACCAGAGCCAGCAGAGTAACTGCAAATGGCAGGTGAAGTTTGGTGGAGCCTCTTTTCCTTTTTCCTGTCTGCCAAGAGGCCAAATTGCAGCCCTCCTTAGCTTACCTTCCATACAGACATCCTATACAGCACTGAGGTGACATGATCCCATCAAATGGATATACGGAGACATTTCACAGTATGCTTCTGAAAGAATCCACACAGCAAGCAGAGAATAGGGATCAGGGCTAAGGCATTTTAAGCTACTTCTGTAATCTTGAGCTATTGCAGAAACAGGAGTGGACCTTATATAAATCAAAATAATGATAAGGACACCCACATTACAGGTCTGTTCCCTTTTATTGAGGAAAATCATAGAATCATAGAATAGTTACGGTTGGAAAGGACCTTAAGATAGAATCATAGAATCATAGAATGGTTAGGGTTGGAAAGGACCTTAAGAGCATCAAGTTCCAACCCCCCTGCCATGGGCGGGGACACCTCGCTCTAAACCGTATCACCCAAGGCCTTGTCCAACCTGGCCTTGAACACTGCCAGGGATGGAGCATTCACAACCTCCCTGGGCAGCCTATTCCAGTGCCTCACCACCCTAACAGGAAAGAATTTCCTCCTTATATCCAATCTAAACTTCCCCTGTTTAAGTTTGAACCCATTACCCCTTGTCCTACCACTACAGTCCCTAATGAAGTGTCCATCAGAATGGGGAAAAAATAGTATTTTTATCTTATTAATTGATGAAAATGTGCATTTAATGTATATTCAGACTATTTCCAGTATGAAATTTAAAATTAAAATATACATGCTTTCAATAATCTTCCTCCAGTATATAACCCTCTCATCAACTAATTGAAAAACCTAATAGGTATCTTTATTTCCAGACAACATATGCAAAAGGAGACGGAAAGGGGAAACATAAGGAAACTCAACTCATTATGGTGGAAATGTCATATAGAGACAAAACCACGGTCAAGAATTCTAAGTCTTCAGAAGCGTTTAAAAAGGAAAACTTTAAACGCTTGTCCTCATTGTTACAGTATCATACAAATCCTAAACTATCATAACTTTTTCTAAAGTGGATGAGTTAATCTAAACCAATCTAGCAATATCTCTTTAAGGCTGGTAAATTCTGCATTACTAGTTCTGTGCTAACTGCGTAAAGGGAAGATGCAAATGACTGTATGCCTTAAAGATATCTTTAAGGAAAGAACTCAAATAAGCACAACAGAGGAGAGCAGCTCACTCCAATATTTGCTAGTGATCTTTTACCCTTTTCCATATGTTTGCTGTACTGTATAATTGAGTTGCTTATTTATCACTGAAGAGAAACACAAGCAAAATGCACACTATTTTTAACAACTTGCTGCATATATTTATGCTTTGTATCTTTCTATCTTTGAAGAGTTCCACCAACAAGGAGAGCAATCTGCTCTTCTATGGTAGATTATGTGTTATCACACTTCTGCGAATGATAACTGATAAATACAAATTAATAAGCAGCTCTGAAGCCCAACAGTAAGCCAATCTATGGGCGTCAAGAGAAAAAAAACATACTTACACAGTCTCACAACTACTACTATCCTATAGATACAAGGCAATAATTCTAAGTGTATGGGAAACATGCAGCCTTTCCTTTCTATAGGAAACAGGCTACACTAACTGCTGCATCTAATGTTAGAACACACAGCATGATTTTTGGATTCTGAAGGTTTTTAAAGGCATGGTGCCTTTACCAGGTAAAAGTTCAAATTGGAAATCTAGTTGGTTCTTTCAGTCCTTTGCTCAAGTATCATCATCCAACCAAATTCAAAACCATATCTAATCTCTAAGACACATGATATGGATTTAGATATGTAGGTAAAGATTTATTTCACACAAAACATCCTCTATTCCAAGTAACAAAGCTGGATAATGAATAAAAGCTGTTTCTTGGAGCCTGGAATTTGAAGCTGAGGACATCACAGGCTGTCACCAGTTAGTTCCTGACAGTTTACTGCAAACCCCAAGAAAACTCTGAGGATGTGGTTTGTCTGAAATAGGACTTTTATAGCTCTGGATTTGTCAGGGTATCCCTACCATTTAGTATTAAGAATGTGAATGCCCTAGAGTCATGCATATGCATAAATACTTGCACTCTCACTCAGAGATGTGATCCCATATTTGGTTGAAGACATTAGAAGCACTAATTTATTGGTCTTTAAAGCACTTAGTAACCTCAAGAATATTTAATCTTCTTGTACTATCAATGACCTGACCATGCATCCTTACAAAACTACAACTGCGTGGACTGATTGGAGGACTGATACTATAGCCCTGTGCTCAGGAGACATGTCACGTATATAAGCAAAAATAACAGGATCTTGGGGAAGACCAGAATGACAGTTGAGATACAAAAACTTATCAGAATTTAATTCTACCTTCTTTTTTTTTTTTTTTTTTTTTTTATTTTCTTAACATAGGGAAGTACTGTTGCATTTTTTTGCGGTTGTAAACATACAATGCAAAAATTTCATAGCTGGCTCAACTGCACAGTGAGACAAACAACCACAAACTGGCTGTGTAAATTAACATTGCCAGCAAAGGATTCAGCATGTAAATTGCTCAAATTTCTCTCACTCCTTTAATCACTATAGGAATAGTAAGATTTTGTCATAGCTCTACTTCAGAAACAGCCAGAAGACATCTTCTAAGTATAAGCAGTTAAATCATAACCTGGTGACCAGGACACTTGGGCATGGAAGAAAACTGTCTTTAATCTAAGAAGCCAACAAATAAGTTGACGAACAGCAGTTAATGCTCACATTAATTCCACATCATGAACTGAAAGAACAGTTGAAAGACTGCAGTTACAATCTTCCAGAAGATCTAAAACAGTTAACCCAGGAGTTCCACAGTACCTTTTATACAAAACCTTTAAATAATGATCTATAAATTAACCGATATCTATCACATGAAGAACTGAAGAAATTTATAAATAAATGTGCCGTTTGCTGAAATGGAATCATCTCAATTTCTCCTCATTAGAAAATCGCTGCAACTGTTTCCTCCTATATATAGCACAGCAACAGCTTAACAGTGGAGAGTAGCAGTAGGACGCTCCAAGGCAAAAGTAGTACAACTTCTAGTTAAAGCTGCATGAAAAAATTTGGTGGACAGAATATAACTACCAAATTGGAATTTGTTCAGAACTTGGGAATTAATACTTATTCTCTGAGAGGATTGCCACGGAATTTTTCCTGTGCTTATGCACCTGGGACTTCAGGCAATGGTCACCATCTGTAGCATAATACACCTTGGTATAGCAAAGGAAACACTAGCATCTGATTCACGTTCATCTTTCAAAATGAGATCAAGTCAGCTGTAGCCCTTCTCAGAGGTCCTTCAGGCTTGCACAATAAACAGTATGACTTTAGGCCAGAGCAACAGTGAACAGAGAAAACATAAAAGCATTCTCTTTCAATTATGACAGTTATGCTTAACCAAAGAACTGATTTAATTTTTAACCTCTACTGAGTGTTTGATACAAATGAAAAAAAAAATAGCCATTACCAAAAATTGGCTCTGGAGAAATGTTCCATGTACAGCTGCTCATCAGAAAAAGGAGCCAAATGAATGTCACTGAATGTTGGGAACATCATCCCTAGTACACAGAAGACAACATAAAGTAGTAAGCCAAGTGCTCAAGAAGTGTTTGGACAATGCTTTCAAATAAATGGTTTATTGTTAAGGTAGCTCTGTGTGAAGTAAGGAGTCGGACTTGCTGATCTATGGGAGCCCATTCCAACTCAGGATATTTCGTAATTGTGTACTCCCACAGACATCCTACAGGGATGTCTTCACTAGTAGGAAACCACTAGTTCAGAAGCAACTCAGCTCACTTACTTAGACAATCATAAAATTTAATAATTACCACATAGGGTGATTCATCCCTATAAGTGAGCAATCAGAAAGCTAGGCATGTATCTTTAAAAGCAGTCACTCATTTAAAACTAAAAATGAGCTGCTTCCTGATAAGTTTTCAGAAGCTCTCCTCTGAAACTGATCTCTAAATGGGAGACTTAATATCAGTGGCTGACTTGAAAAATACAACCCAAATGTGGTTTGTGAGCAAATTCATTAGCTCCCTGCATTTAGGTACAGATTCAGCCCATGCTTCAAAAATTCCGTTTTGCAGTAATTTTGCTTGAGAAAGGTTTCTTAAATAAGTAATTTAAAGAGATACTTCATTTTTAGCAGTTCATGTAGATTTATCATTCAGCAATTGGATGCACAGATTTACCTCCCAAAGAAGATTCACATGAGGCCCTGGAATTTACAGATTACCTTCAAAACTCTTCCAAATACTGGAGGGATGAATATAGAGCACTGAACACTGTGAGTCTCTCACATCATTCAGAAGGTAACATCCAAATATTAGAATAAGGCACTGGGAGAAGCCCAATGAAAGGATGTCAGAAATAACTTGAACTTTCCCCAAAACACCAAAATTCTATTTGACCATTCCACTCTCAGCTTGATTCCACTGTCTGTCGGTTGAGGCTTGTGTGCTATTATCTATTGTGATATGTTGAATGGAAATGCTATCATACTGTATATAACAGCAGGTTAAGATTAAAGCACAAGCAGAACTCAGCACTGTAATAGTAGCATGCTCCAAAGCTTTTTCCACTGTGAAACAGCAAGAAGTCACAGCATGGTACAATAGCAATGGTGGCTTCATCATTCTATTAATTCCCCTGGGCCCCCTAGATGTTGGTGTTAAAGCTAGACTGAAGGTATAAAACCAGACAATCCTGGACTACCAATTTAAGTATTTTTTTTTTCCAGAAGCCTTTTATTTTCCTTTCTCTGTGCAGGGGATAACTTGGTGACACACTTACCACGCGTCTTCAACCATTTTTTGGAATGGAGGTAAGTTTCCAACATTCGTTCATTGAACAACATATAACCCATCGGTTCGGAAATTACCACATCAACATTCTCAGGCAGAGAGATCTCCTCAATTTTTCCAGACAGAACTACGATCTTGTCAGAAAGGTTATTGCTTCTCACCAACAGCTGGAGGAAAAACAAAAGCACACAGCAAGTTTTGACTGTCTTGATCAGCAGAATTTATATCAGAGGTCTTTAACTAGCATTAAACCCCTTATAGCATAAACCAACTCCCTCAGTCTGTTAATCAGAGTAAAATAGAAATATTTTTCCTTGCTACACCAAAATTTCTAAGTGTGGAGCTCACTGGAGCAAACTCAAAGAAATACATTGTGTGGAATCAGCAAGTGATAGTACAAGTACTGTTGTCCTGCAAGAGATGACAGTAATCAGTATCTACAAGAAAAAAAACTGCCTACCGGGAAAAGGTGGGTATTTAAACTCAATACAAAAGATTACAAAGAAAAGGTCTTCACAAGTCTCTAAATTTTAGAAATACTGTTCTTGAATAAGTCACGTAGCCATGAAAGGATGAAGAAACTCAAAAGCTGAAAAGTTTTCAGTATTTTCTAAGCATAAATGGAGCATAGCACTATATACACATGACCGCATTTGAATGTGCTAGTACTTAAAGCTGAGATACTGGAGATTTATTCACTTGCATGGGCATAGTGAAACTTGGGGAAAAATGTTTAACGAATAGCAGAAATGGACCTTAAATTTTATGCTTGATACAGCAAGTTAAGTCTAAAAAAAACCAACTTTTTCAAAGCCTCTACATATGTACACATAGATGAGTATCCTATTTAGCTGCACTGTACTCAGACATATCGGAAGTATCTACACCTCTTGCTTGTAATAACAGCAGAATCTGGGTTCATCTGGCACTAACTTATAAAGAAGCAATTATTTCACACTAACCTGAGGTGTCTGCTGGGAGATTCTATAAAGTGAAGAATCCTTTGCAACAGCACAGTAGGAGATTTGTATTGATGTCCAATAAGTAATAAAAACCTCCTTCACAGTTGTACTTGCATTGATATAATTGTATCATCAATGTAAGTGTATATAATTACTTCAGCAAACTTTTCCAAAACAGACTGGGCCTTAGCTGACAGCAATGATACTTATGACTCATTCTAACCAGAGAAAGACTAATGTTGTTATTATATATCCATTGATATGTGAATATGCTAAAGAAATTAATAAAAAATCAACTCAGAACAACATATAGAAGAGACCAGTATGCTTCATCAAGTCCTAACAATTTTATGGTTCTATGTTAAATATCTGAATTACTTAGCTTCCTTCAAATGAAGTTAAATGCTAGGTATTAAGTATCTTCTTCACACTCACTAGTGGAATTTTAACACTTTTGCTTATAGTTAACATAGTAGGTATAACATCTGTGTGAATAATTTGCATTGAAGCTTGAATGACTGATACAGTTAATGATTTCCAGCCACAACTTGCTAATATAAACTATATGTTAATATGGTAATAAAACTACTAACCAAAATGAGGATCATTGTACACTAGCATGCTATCAATTAGGCAAATAACATCTCTGCTTCTTTCACTGACAAGTGTTTGTATCCATTTCTAGTAACAGGTTGACAGATTTTATTTTAAAGTTCTTTAGACCAGAGCCTGTGTGATCAGACACATAATGAAGTTTCATTTTGGAAAGTAAACGACTGTTTTGCTCACAGGTGAACTCCCAATCTAAAAATAACTAACTGAAACAGCACCTCTGCAGCAGCATGGTTGTACAAAGGAGAGAAGCGTAAGCCATTTCAGACCCTCACAGACTATGGCAGACACCTCACGGTTTGCTAGAGGGCAGCAGATCATTACAGTATCTCATGCACTGGAGATCATTATATTACGAAAATTTTTACTGGAAATAATAGCATGGGGACAGACAGAAATTGCTATTCTGTATTATTATTATTATTATTATTACACAACTTTAAAAAGTTATCAATGTTTATTTGTTTTTCTACCTTCAGATACAGCAAAAATAAAACGTCCAAAACACCACTGTTAGTACTAATCCTCTCCTTTAGAGTGTAGCTATGACTTGAGAAAGCGAAAAGTTCCACTCAGAATCTTAACTGAGGTAGAAACTGCATTTTCAAAAGGAATTTAGGAATGCCAGGTTGTAGCCAGAGCTTCAGTGAACAGAAACCTCTGCTTATTCACACAAAATTTGTGTTCCAGCAATACACTCTGATAGTGATCTGAAAAATCAAGGCAATTCTGCATCTGCCAAAATCTCAGGCTGTGTACCAAGATTGTGAGGAAGCCAGTGAATGCCAGCTGAAACAAGTATTTTGCATGCATTAGGACGCTGATTTATTTCAGGGAGAAGATAGCTTGTCTTGTGGCAGCTATATTTTTTTTTGGTTATTATTGCAGCTGAGTTAACTAACTGCGTATTTAGCTGGTTTGGTGGCAATGAAAAGCTGGTTTTGAAGATTTCAGAATTTCTCTTTTTAAAATTATTCTTTAAACTCAGAGATCATTTTTCTGAAACTGAAATTTACCATGCATCAATGAATTCTGACTAATGAATATGCAGAAAAGCAATAATCAATTAATTGACATTAAATATTGGAGAACTAGTCTTCCACAGTTTCTACACCTCTGTTTCATACATGAGGAAGGTTCTAGATTCTACAGAAGTAACAGAAATACTAATAACACAAGTGTGTTATAATCAAGTGCACATAAAATACTGTTAAATTCTACTTCCAGGTAATATTAGTGCAAACCTGAAATTTAGAAATAATCACATAAATAAATACATAAATAAATCACTACAAGAAGGCTATAAGCTAACAGCTATAAACTGACTTTTGTCCCAGCCACTTCCATCTTGTTTGAACTGGCCTTATTCTTGACAGAATTACTGAGTTAATTTACCCTCTGCAGCACCTTCACAAACTGAGAGTTTTAAACACGGCATATTATTTATACCATCACCAGTATGACTTTGCTGCTCAGGTAGGTATTTTGTCCATGTCATTTAAAAGATATGCCTTAAACAAACTATTTCTTCCTCTTTTATACTGAAACCAACCCATATCTTCATCTGACAGCTTTCTGGTTTTACTAACTTAATATTAGCAATTTTTGTGCCTTTTTAAAAAAGTTTTCTTGCAAACGAAGAACAAACAGCAAAGGGTGATGGCAGTACGGCTTTTAGTCTCAGGGCCTTTGGAAATCAATAGCAAATCTCTGGCAAAAGGAGAGGAGGTATATCTGAGTGGGTGTGTTGGCAGTGTTTTCACCTCCACACAGTATTTCATGAATTCCTGCAATCACCTGCTTATGGTCAGCATAATGTGTTTGAAACAAAAGGAGTAGTTTCAATATTTCACAGCTTTAGTGAAAGCTAAAAAGAAAAAAAAAAAACCAGGAAAAAAAAAAGTCCACCCAGTAGCATATAATTTTTTCAGTGACTGGAAGGAGTGTGCTATTTTCAGCAGCCGCATTCTCTCATTATTCTTCTGGATTTCAGAAGACTCTGAAAGTAGGCTCATTATAAAATATTTCTTCCTTATATCTTGTACGAATCTACCCTCATTTTTAGTGTGCATTATCAACATACCGTATAAACCCCACCACACAGCATCTGACAGACCAGATGAGACAGACAACTTACCACATAATTAAATATGATTAAAGTCTTTAAATCTAAATAATAGAAAACAGTAACAGATGAAGATTTTTTTACTGCACAGAAGATAGCAAGGTGCCCACAAGTATCACCTAAACACATAGCAAATAACTGCAAACATTATGGTGCTTGAGACAGAATCTTTGCAAGACTGCCCCAAGCGCACGTCAAGCGCTTTCCTAAATTCCTGTATCTTGCAGGCAAACTGCGTTCACTCATACATGGACACCCCCAGAGGAGCTGTAACACATTCCACTCAAGGTTAATTGTCTTTCATGAAATTAATTCTCTTGTTTGGCTATTGCAAAAGATTAAATAGCAGTCTTAGATGTAACAAATCTCTATTTATGTCCCATATCACAACAGAAAGCGAAGGATTTCACCAGAAGTAATTATTTTTAATTTTAATTATCCCATCAGTAGCTGACCTCCGCAGTACAGTCAGATTTTCTTCATGTACAGTAGCTGTTTCTTTCTGTTTATACAAGTGTTCCACATAGATTTTTTTTTTTTTCCAGTTTGTTAACGTTAATGTTTCCCCTTGGTCCTAGATGGGTTGCTTAGAATCAGGTTTCCTGTTCAGACAAAATAGCTACCAGCACCAGCCACCTTCAGCCTTCTTTCTTCTGCTCTTCACATTTTTTGGCCAAAGGATTTACTGCAGTAGTGAAATCGGCAGACTGAAGTTGCTTTCATCTCACATATCCACCTACTACTGGAGAGCACTTGGTCCCTATTACAAACTGGTTTGTTAGTCAAGATGTGTTTCAAATTTCTTCCTCTACCACATACTGCATGTGGCATGAGCCAGCTACTAACAGTTGTATCTCCTAAACAAGGAGTCACAGAACAGATGAAAAACTGGTACAGAGTCATGATAAAGGTGCACAGGGTTTCTCTCTCCTCTGCTGAAGTTTTTGAAAAAGGAAAAAAAGCAGGTAAGCCTTGGGTACATGAATACCAGACAGAGAAGCCACCCAAATGCTACAGGGAACACAGTGATGCAGACATGAGATATTCTTCAGTGACTACCTAAAATAAATGAGTGCAAAGCAACAGCTAGGATGTTTCCTAATACAGCAGCTGTTACGAATTTTCCTTCCAACACACTTTTCAGATATTCTACCATTGCACATATTTATGCAGTACACAGTTTTCAACACTGTCAAATAGACACCTGATTTCAGGTAACTGCATTGTAGTGCTAAATTTTTAATCTTGTTCTTTCAAAATAAACTTCCAACTATAAAGACGAATTTACTGTAAACCCAACAAATCTATCAGTAGAATTATTACAGCATTAGTATATGTAATTTCCCTTCACTCAGTAGTTCATTGCATTGGTTTCAAGTTTTTTGTACTAAAATAGAAAGGAAAGAAAAAGAAAAGAACAATATTTGTTAATCTCACATTCAATATTACTACACGTATCTGAAGAAGATGAAATATAATAAACCCATGCAGAAATGAGAGAATAAATGGATGGAAAGTAATGGTTTTCTCATAATCCAAATACTTGATAAACCATACCTACTGTGGAATATTAAAAGATGACAAATAGTATACCTAAGGCTAACCATCTTTATACTGAATAAAATTTAATTCTTAAAACGTGTCATGTGTTACTAGATCAGCTGATCCGCAATACAATTCATGAGCGAGCAAGTTTTCACAGAATTATGACTGCATCAGTCTATTATATTTCTTACGAAAACTGGGACCTATTTGGGGAAGTAGAAGGAAAGAAAATGACCAAAAATTTGTTAATTATCAAACTGAGACTGACATTTTAGCCAGTATTCCCCAGTATTTATAGCTGCTTAAAGCTCTTTACTTCTCTTTATCAATCATTTTTTTAAGCTGTTTAACATTTCATCCACCTCAGGAGAAAAACCAATCCAATTTCTAAACCCAGTGAATTAATGCTATTTCTCTATCAGTAAGTTGCCAGATATATTACTCATATTTACATTGCCCAAGAAAATACTCAGTATTCGATACACTACAGATGCAACTTGTGCCATTTCATGACTAGTGATTTTTCTTACTTCTGACTAGATTTCCAAAGTCACAGTTTCAAACCTGTGATCAAAACATTAAAAACCCCTACACATTATACTCACTACTAGATATTATATGGCTACTAGGAAAAGTAAGTTCCTTTTGCTCTTTTTATTATGCTTTCATAAGTAAAACTTCTGTCTATCGTGAAACAAAGATATTGTACAATATCATATCTGTTTACAAATTCCTGTGTGAAGTAAGAACTACCCTCCACCTTTCCTTCTGAGATCATTTTCATATGTTAACATTTAATGCTTTTGATACATCTGACACATTGACAAACAATCACGAAAGAATCTGTTTAATTACAAAGAATCTTTCTAATTATACAAATTATAGCAAGAAAATAGAAATGTTCTTTCAGTACATATATGCTAAGTAAGGCTAGCGCATTCTCGCCAATTCCAAAAGTAACAGACACATATCAAGTAAACATTTGTCAACAGCAACACAAATAAGGTGAAAGTAGGAAATGATTGTATGAAACACTTTTCTTCCATACAAGAATGAATAAAAACACACATGGAGAGATTATGGAGTCCTGTATTCAAGCTAGAATGAAAGAATTTATAAATTAATAACTACTTCTACCTGGAGAGAAGTAAAAATGTCTAATATCTACATTTTTTTCTTTAAGACCAAACCAGATTATCTCAATTTCCAACAACAACCCATTTCCTTCACAATGATACAGTCAACAATTGGTGTTTGCTATCCATCAGCAAGACCAAGGCTGGATTGCTGCACCAGGACGTAAAGGAGGAACTTTCAGTAAATTACTGCATATTCATTGTGTGGATTTAGAGGAACTATGGACTCCTAATGTAGCCCATGAACATTTATATTCTAGATCAGTAAAGCAAAAGGAAAAATGTGTCTAGGTGGTGCAATCTTTTTCTAGGTGTGGGATAAAAGATCCTCCACTTCAGTACTTTGCACCCTTTTCACATTAAAGCTATTTTAAAAACTCAGATAGAAGTGATCAGTGTTGACAAAATGAATAACAATAATGCTCACACTTCATCTAAATAAGCACAGACTGTGTGAAAAAACTTATCCTAAGGCATTTAGTTACCAATACCACTTTGAGCGCTTAAATTTATTTTTATCATATTAGAATGCTTAGTAAACACAATGCCTGAAAAATACCATTTAAAAATAAATGCATTGTTTGGACACATCCTTCTGAAACACTAAGAACACAGTTCTGTAAGAAGGTTGAAAGACCCGATTGATCAAACTTAGCAGGAAACTAAGTCAATTGATCACACAGATATCCAAGAGTCTTAGGAAAAAAACACCTAAATGTTTTTGCACATAACCCATGGAAACAACTAATGTTTTTCTTTGTTTTCCCTTCTGAAAGTAAATATTTTAATCACAGTTATGACCATTCACTCTTTTTCACAGAAATAACAATCATACAGTTTATTTATTTCGCATATTAGAACATTTAGAACACCTTGAAAAATTACCTTTCAAAAAGCATTACCCTTTAGAGACCTGACTTAGAAAAATCACACTGAAGCCTTCAGCCTTTTTGAGGCACAGTTCTAAACCTCTTCACATTTTCACACTACACCATTCTAACACTTGGCTCACAAGAAAAAGACTTACCTCTGCATGTTTTGCTACTGTACTGGCTTCCACTGCATAGACTTTTCTAGCTCCAGCCTGCACTGCAAAAAATGAAAGGATTCCTGATCCACAGCCAACATCTAGGACCACCTTGAAAACAAAAGGTAGACCAAAAGAAATAAAATAATCAAAAAGTCACTTCCTCATACTTCTAAGTAATTAGATTTTCATAGCTGTACCTTGTATTTAATAAGCCTGGAATTATGCAAAAATATTACTAATTTCACTTAAAGAGTGAAAAGGCTGGAATGAAGAGTTTTAATGCCCCTAATCATTATTTTAGTATATTTTAAAGAGACCATGAATTGTTTTCATGTGTTGTGGTTATGTCATGGCTATGGTTTGAACGAAATAGATTTTTGTAAGAAAGTTTCTTCAGGAGAAAAATTTGGAACAAAAATGTAGTCTGATTACACTGGGGAGGGAGGGAAGACATGACAATAACGTCAGCTTTAAGAAAAATCTCACAGAACATCTCAGCATTTGGGTTCCTCTTATGGGTTTGTGCTTGACTGAAAACTGAGAGGAACAGTTTTCCTGTCCTTTGGCTGAAATTCTCATTAAATTTTGATCCAGGATGTGAAATTCACAAGCCCATTAGGTGATATAAGGACCTGGAAACTCCTAAGATTTCAGAGCACTTCAACCATGAAACCAAGCTACAATCCTGATATAGTCTCAGGAGTCAAGACCAGAGAAGCTTAAATATAATACGGATTTAGAATAATATTGAAGTTCAGTATACCACTACCTACCCCTACCCCTAGTCTGATTTTCTCACTCTTTGAAGGGGTTCTTGGTGATAAATTCAAATACTGTCTGTCAGAGGTAAGCTATTTTAGGATAAACTGGGAGTAGAGCTTGGATTGACTATTTATGCCTAATGATGCTTAAAAGAATTAGGAGAACTCATTCAGAATCTAATGAATCTGAGGCTGTATTCTTCATATTAATACAGCAATTCTTACTGGCATATAATCCTTTATATTTACTCTTAGAAGTGTGGGAGCAAGTCCAGAGGAGGGCCACGAGGATGATCAGGGGACTGGAGCACCTCCTGTATGAAGGTAAACTGAGAAAGTTGGGGCTGTTCAGCCTGGAGAAGAGAAGGCTGCATGGAGATCTCCTAGCAGCCTTCCAGTATCTGAAGGGGGCCTACAGGGATGCTGGAGAGGGACTTTCATTGGGACTGTAGTGATAGGACAAGGGGTAACGGATTGAAACTTAAACAGGGGAAGTTTAGATTGGATATAAGGAACAAGTTCTTTACTGTTAGGGTGGTGAGGCAGTGGAATGGGTTGACCAAGGAAGTTGTGAATGCTCCATCGCTGGTGGCGTTCAAGGCCAGGTTGGATAGAGCCATGTGTGACATGGTTTAGTGTGAGGTGCCCCTGCCCATGGCAGGGGGGTTGGAACTTGAAGATCTTATGGTCCTTTCCAGTCCTAACTATTCTATGATTCTACTCTAATAAATTTTGTCCAGCACAACTTAGATAACCTGCTGCTTTTTCTCATACAGGAATATTTTTCAAAGCATACAAAGCCTAGAATAAGAAAAAAAATACACTTCCTCATCAGATATCCCTTCACTATAGGCAAAAGCATTTGTATAATAAATCACTACAGAATTTAGGGAAGAGGCAGCAAAAGGGAATCTACTGGGGGGATGCAAAATAGATAGAAAATAATAGGAGAAGTATCAATTGAATAAAACTTCCTTCAATAATGCAGGTATTAAAATAATTATATCCTTTTTACCTTTTCATCTCCTTACTGCCATCATTAAATACTTCTGCCTGCCTCATAGTTTCTGGATGTAGGATAGATGCTGTATTTCCAATTCATCAAGTCTCAGCACAACAGGTTTCTCAGGTTCTTATAGGAAAGCATTTTGTCACAATACAGATAGTTAAATTTTTTTCAGCTACATTTATTCTAAAAGTTGCCATTTCTTAACAGAAGCAGGAAAAAGAAAGATCATTTTCTAAGTGGGTGGCCAACAACACCCAGCCTGTGATAGTCTTACTATTAGCTATGCTGTAGAGAAACCAAGGCACCTTCAACAGCTGGGAAAATAAATAAACGTAGAGCAAAGGCAAGCAGGCTGTACTGCTGCACAGCAACAAGATTTCCTATTCAGAGGCAAAAAGGATGCAAAACCTGAATTCCTTAGCGCAGAGTCAAAAATGGAATGGATGTGCTACCTACAGTATAAATCTGCCTCTTGCAATATAACATGGGAGCTTCCTATTTTGCAAGAAAACGGTGGCAAATAAGATTCTCTCTCTGCTGTTTCTTTCACCATATATTCATGTTACATATTCCAGTACAAAACTGAACTTATTAATGGTTCTATAAGCTCCACATACCCAGCTGGTATCATCCAGTACCACATGCTTTGGTTTTTGATTCTGATGCTTATAGAAAACCAGAGCAGCCCTGTGCACATCACTAGTTTACTAGCCTCATTGGATTAAATAAGAGAGGAGGATTGTGTCAGGCCTGAAAGAAATTACACGAACTGAAAACCTATTTGTTTTATTTCTATAAAGGTTTGTTTCATTTCTATAAAAGTAGGTAGTTTAGTTTTTTAAAGAAGCACAGTTTAGCTAAGTTGCATGGCAAATAAAAATTATGAGCTGCATTTGCATTTGTTACTAAACTTAATAGCGAAAACATAATGATCTTTAAAAAATTCACATTTACATCTCTCCTCATTTTGGCTATAAGTATTGGCTACACCTTTAAGGGGAAAAGTTTTGTTTGGCATTTGCTTTTAAGTTACTAAAGACTCTTTTCTGTGATGCAATAAAGCCATTTGCCCTGGTGTAAGCTGAAGTCAGAGGCTCCCTTTAAGAGAAAGTGTGCACAAAAACTTGAGAGAAAGAAGGGAAAAAGGAGAGAAGACAAAAATATGATAACAAGGTAAAAAAAAATAAATTACAGCTTAATTTTCTCCATTGTTTTTATTTGCAATCTGCTACCCAAATATCATAAACTAAGCCCACGTAGTCACAGCTGACATACTGAGACCTAGGAAACATAAGTCTGTAGTAAGCAGAGACTACTGCTTACAAATTGCCTATTTGCTTACAAAAGGTCACATGTAGTCTAATGTTTTTTGCTGGGTTTTAGTATTTTATTGCGAGGTGAGCAGTGCCATAGCAAGATATGCAGATGACATAATATCCACTGATTAAAGAGCAGAGAGCTAGCAAAGACAAGCCATAGGGCAATTCACAGATAAATTAAACTCAGTGCTTATTAATATAATTTTGTGGAAAATAAGAACTGTTCGATTACCATTCAAGTTCTAAATGAATCATCATCAGCAACAACAGTAGCCTAGGCACCATTATCTATTGTTTGATAAAGATCAAAGCTCAATGGATAGATGAAGTCCCAGGGGAAAAAAAAAAAAAAGTCAAGATTTCTGAAAAGTACAGTAAAGAACAACCAGGAAGTTAGAATTCAGCAATACAGATCAGTTCTATGGCACTGTCTGCACTGTCATGCATAACTCCCACCAATCCTTCCAAAACAGGTGCTGCACAATTCATGGTGACATTGAAAAAAGAGGGCAGGAATACTAACAGGGCATGCACAATTTCTTCATATAGAAAAAGGCAAAGAGGACTGAGAACACTGACTTCAGAAGAAAGACTATCTAAGAAGAGGCAACGCAAACTGACACAACGGAGGAACAATATAAAGAAAATTGGAACTTCAATGCTCCTTTGCCTCACAACATAAATCAAAATGACAGAGCTAGAAAGCAGACACGTTAAAAATCGTACTAAAGGAGATACTTCTTGGCATAAAATGTACTGTGGAATTTGTTGCTGTATTAAGTGTGAATCACAGGAAAGTGTGCATGGGGACTGATGCTGGAGAGGGTCAGAAAGTCTCTAGTTAATGTAACTATAGAAAAAAGTAAAAACCCACTGTAAACTGTATTAGCCCTATGTTTTGCATTTCAAGGAGCATAAACCAAAATAAATTAGAAGGCAATTTAATTGGTGTCTGGGCAGCAGATTATTCTATGTCCCCCCAGTGTAAGTTTTCTTCTGTCTTCTGCTGAAGTATCTGGCCTGGAAAGTCTGAGAGGCAAAGGACTAGATAAAGTAATAATTGTTATATTTATTACAATAGGCCTCAAGATCTGTATACATATTTCAGAGATTAATTTGGCATCTGAAGTCACAAGTTTCTTCACTGTACCCAAATCTTTGTCTTACACATGTGCAACCACAGCAGACACTTACGAGCTGTCTCAGTTTGTAATGATTGTGGGGTGCAAAAACATTCAGTGTACACCTCCGTGAAAGAGACATAAATTCAAATAGCTCTGTGGGTATTTTCAAAAGACTATGTGGCACAATAGCAAACACACAGTCAACAGTTAAGACAAGGAAACTAATTCTGTATATGAGCTCTAAGATGCCAAATGGGAATAGCAGCCCAAAATGTCAAGAAAGATATATATGTAGGTCCTCTGATTCTCACAGAAGACAGCAAAGGGATTTGTAGTTTATGTTTGGCAATGTCCATCCTGAGTATGTACCATCAGCATCATGATTTGTCATCCATGCGCTTGGCAATAACATTAATAATGCAAAACACACATGAATTAATACATCCATGCACAAAGTCCTGGGTGAGAAAAGGCTACAGTCTGATCAGTGTTGCTCTACAGGGCAAATTGATGTTTAGAGCCTAAGCAGTGTACTTGAACGTTTAAGACTCAACAGAGCTTACCTTGTCTACAAAATCTACGTCGTTCTGTAGGATAGCTCTGTGGTAAGTTGCTGTCCTCACAAAATCCTGCATCATATTCTGTTGTTGAGACAGATAGCCATAAAACTAAAAGTAAGAAGTTGAGGAAAAACAGAACAAAAGATAAAGTCCATCTTCTACCAATCTTACCTTAAATTACTTAGTACTTAAATTACCAAGGTCCTCACCACCCTCTGAATAAACCTAAGCTATCCTTCTAACTAATCTGGTGACTGAGGTCAAACAAACAACAGTAACAGATTTCACAAACTGGCACCAAAGTTTCATTACCTGAAAATACTGAAGCGCAGATGCTTCATCTGTTCGTTGACTGAACACAGAGCCCTCCTTATTTTTGTTACGACATTTCTTCAACGCATCTGAAAATGTGCTGTATTCTGGAAAACAAACAGCAAAAACCACAGGGACAAATAAATTAAGATAAACACCCAGTGACAAGATAAGAACACAGTCACACTTGAGAGGAAAGCTTCATTTGGCTTCTGTGTTTATAAATACATAGTAGAGTTCCAATTTCATTAAACAGGCAAGAGCTGTTGCAAAGATCTGTCCAGCACTGAGAGATTTAAAGAAACACCTGGATGCACGGAACAGTGCTGTCAAGGATTCAGGTTAGCTAACTCCAGCAAATAAAAAAAAAACTTGTGTTGAGGAATCCTAACAGAGGAGTGGCTGAATGTGAGCCTCAATCTACCATTTCAGGTTAATCTACATTAAGCCAAACTCCACACAGAGAACCACCTAAGGTTACTGTTGGAATGCATGGATTCAAGTGAGAAGGTTTACAACCTAAAATAAAATATTCAAATTCCATTGGTGGCTAAGGACCATGGATTTTCCTTTAGATCCAGACTAGATCAAAAGCTCAGTTATAGCCCTTTGGTTTATGTGAACAACATCACTTCTGACACTAATTAACAGGAAAACCCATGTGGACCTAAAACCCAAATAACCAGTCCACACAAGCACTTTTGTCTCCATCTTTCAAGATCAAACCAATCCCTCCAAGCATAAAGTAATTTCTTGATGTCTAAAAGAAATGCACATGCCAGTAAGTGGAGAAAGTATCTACGAAAAACACTGTAAGCAAAAATTGTCAGGGGGCAAATGTAGATGACAACAATAAAATCAGGGATGGAAATCTTGCATCTTCTGTTCATAAAAAGACAGGAGAAGACAGAGAAATCAGGCCACATTCATAATTTGCTAAACCAGAGTCAGGAAACTCCTGAAGCTGTTCACAGATTTTCAAATAAAAATAACAATTGCCTGAAGCATGCAACTGTGCACTGGGAAGTACCTGCTAAATGCTCTGATCATTTGGAGATAATTCAGTAACTCAATACTTTCAATGGCCTTTGAAACAAAGGATCTGAATATAACAGAAACAATTTATAAACTTCTCATTACAATAACCAAGGAGAATTTCCTTCATTTCAGAAAATTTCAAAATCCTACAAACAGATATTTGGTTGTACTGATCGTTTTCTAATGCAGAAAGCTGACATATCAAAAGAGAAGAAACGTAAAAGATAGCAAGTGGCTTTCCACTTAGCTTTGGATATCAGGGCAAGCTCAATTGTCAGGCTGTTTGGAAAACAAGGACTCATGTTTACAAAACCCAACAGAAGCACAATTACTGCAAAGCTATATTTAATGAGGAAAAAAGTATTTTTGAGCAGGGTCTTGAGAGAAAGATCCTCAGTAGAAAATTTTAAATTCTTGGGAAAAGTACATAATAAAGACAAAATAGAATTCAGCAAAAGTAGTACAAATTGTTGTTATCCAAGCTTCAAAGTCTTTATACAGCTAGAAATCACTAGAACTGGGAAACTGGATGGAAAAAGCTCCATTTTGGGGCTGTAATGTATTGTTTCACTGTAAGAGTTAAACACCAAAAATGTCAGATAACCATACATCCTCAGAGGAGTCCAAATTAATTGAGGGCACAGGCCCCTTGAACCTCTGGGCTACCCCACATAATAAAGTTCACTTTTAATCATCCAGTGTTCAAGTAATTTCTCTCAGCTGAAATTCTGAGCAGTCTAATGTATGCAATGAAGTAATTTTGTTGAAAGTCTGGAACAATAGCTCTAAGAAGCATAACAGAATTAGTTTGCTAAGAAACAGGTCAGTTTAACTTGACTGTAGCAGAAGTCTGTAGGAAGGGTGGTAGAAATTGTAAACCACAACTCAACAATTTTTTTAAACCTATTTTCCTGCTGTGGAAATCTGCTAGGGAGTTGATCTATTGCCACTCTGCAGAGTATTTCAATGTAATTTCCAGGTGGGATAACGTCCCACTTTGTTCTTTCTGACCTGTCAGCTTGGATGGCAAGAATTGAACATTTGGGGTGATGGAGTCTCAAAATAATAAATTTGTTACAGAAGTAATTGTGAATTACCATTAAAATAAACAAATATCATCAACACATCCTTTTTTACTCCCACACAGGGATGGCAGTCAGGATGAAACACGAAGTGACTGGATCATGACAATGAACTGTTACCCAAGTTACAGACAGTTCCCATTTTCTGCTGGAAGATACAGAGATCTGCTTAAAACAGAGCAGTCCCTCTGTTCTTTCTTTGCATAAAGAGACCAAAAACAAAAAAAAATAAAATCTGACACTGGACAGTTGAGACTTTTTTTCCCAGAAAATCACCCATTGTCTTAAGTCTCTCTTTTTTTATTTTTTTTTTAATTTATTTTATTTCATTTTCTTTCTGAAGGTAAGATATGATGCTATAGATTCAGTGGTGACATGCTTTACTCCTTTCTTTTATAGTCACTCTTCACACATTATTTTCATACCTCTACAGAGACTCTTTGGAGTCTTTGGGGTCTGGGAGTGAGAATGGATTTAAAAACTCAATGCTGTAAGGAAAACTGGAAAGTCTTGCCTAGCAAGGTGATGCTCTAGAAAATTTTATCCTTGGGTGTTTTCAAAACATAACTGTACAAAGCTCTGAGCAACCTGGGGCTGAATTTGCTTTGCGAAGGAGCCTTGACCAGATGACCATAAGATTTCTCTTCCAATTGAATTACTCTTTGATTCTAAGAAAAATAGGTGTGATCTTGTTATTTACATGCAAAAAAAGACATTTGTTGCTGGAGCTCTCGGAAGTGCTGACATATTACAAAACTGATACTCACTGAGTTGAATCAAAACAGGAAGTACAAAAGGTTGATGGAATTCCTCCACAGTCTTTTCACTGTGGACCTCAGATGCACTTAAAAGTTTCCCTGCCAGAGTACTAGCAAGATCTCAAGAGGTTCTGGCAGACTATAGAGGAGAAAGGAATCTCATTTCTTTCATCAGCTTTAAAGAAAACATGGAATTAAATTCTTCTCTATTAGATGGCAGTAAAGATTGAGCAATAAAAATAGGAACAGCTCCATATCTAATACATCTCCATGTATTCCAAACTTCAGGTCCCAACTCTGCATTTTACACATTCATCTGGGGCTAACATTATGAGAAAAAAAGTATTTGAGCATAAAAATAAAATATACAATTAGTTGCTGTTGTTTGATGGGAAGTGAAAAATCACTCTAGTGAAAAGAGCAACAGCAACCAAAACCACTTTTTTACAACTCATCCATGAAAACTTAATGATTCCACCATTGAGAAATCATTATAGCCTTGTCTGATCCTGTACTGACTGAATTAATATACTATGAAAAATTGCCTTAGAGCACAAATTTGCTCCTCTTTTCTTTTTCTCATCTGTTCAGTGAATGTCAGTTTATCCTCAGCATTCATAAATCAAATATTCACCAAAAATATTCCAGTTACTTCTACTTACTATTTGAAGGAAATTACAGTTAAATAGCTACAAACCAAGGATCGGTTTGTAAGGAATTACTGTTGCAGATGTGAATTTGGGATTTTGTTTTTCTGTGGAATGCAGTCAAAGAATTCAAAAGAAAAATCTCTTAAGGAATGCAAATTGCCTAGGTATTATTCATAATAATTGCTACTTGTTTCAAATACTGTCTGAGAGTTCAGACACACATTCACTTGTGTGACAGGGCAAATTGCCAAATAATAAAACTTCAGCATCTAATACAGAAGAATGGAATTATTGTGAATACACATGACACAGACATAAGAAATAAGTTCAAAAGAAAGACATGGTAAAGCTTGAAGGAATTCTCACAAATAAGGACTCCCTACTACAGAAAAGAGAAATGGGTTTGTTTTCTTGTTTTCTTTAGCATGGACAAGGAGCACCAGGTTACTTTGTTTTGTAGACTGTCCCAGAATAAAGAAAAGAATTTATCTCAAGTCTATTTTCCGTATCAAGCAGGTCTATTTTTTACATCCAAAACCAATTTACAACAGCCTGTCTTCTCTCTATTTGCTTCTTCAAGCAAATACACTAAGCTGCTTTCTTTCTGTATTTTCTGTAAAGTAACTTCTTATTAACCAATACCTCATCCTGATTGTGCTATGAAATATGGCTTTATCTGCATATTGATCAAATTCCTTAAAATGAAATATAATTAATAATTTTGATCTTCTTAACATCCTGGGTACTTAATCTGTCATATGTAGAAATATATCCAGAATGAATCTCAGCTTTTATGAAAACCGGATTTTCTTCTTTATTTAAGGTTAGGGACCAGAAAAAGATCTATACCAAAACCAGTTTAGCTCACCAACAGGCTAGAATACTGCTGGGTCATATACTTTGGAACTATTTATTTTGCAACCAGGACTCAAACATACAGAACTGTAAGTCAGCAAAACATTTTTTGAGAACAGAGAAATAGTAATTTTTGTTAATTCTCAGCCCTATATTCTACATAAAGGTTCTAGCAGTCTATATATCTTTTGCTTTGATGCTGACTTGTTTTCTCATCTCAGGATCCTCAAATATTCCATCAGCTTTTCAAAAGAAACTCAAGTATATGAAGGTTGTTGCCTGGTAACCTAAGCATAGTGTTTCAAATGCTACCCCTTCAAGATTCTTCTAACCAGTCCTGAGAGATTTCTTCTGTTACCAGGGGGTTTGCCTGTTGGCTCATCTGTAAAGAAGAAGGTCTGGCTTGCTTACAAAATTTTCTGGGTTATCAGAGTTTATACTTAAGCAAAAATTAATCTATCCTGTAAAATTCAAAATTAATGTTCCTGGTGGGAGGGAAAGGTGTAAGTGCTCCTTGATGACCTGCTTCTTTATGCTGTGAAGCCATCTCCTTTCACCCTCAAAACTCTTTCTCTTGGGAAGATGTCCGTTACTTTTCTTGAACAGTTTTGGCTGTCTTCAGAAAAATAACTTACAATCATCACTGACTGAAAAACAAATCCTTGCGCCCTCACCACCCCAATCACTTAAATCAATCTAAAGTTTTCCACTAGCAGGTTGAAAA